GTGAGTCCTTTTATTATTATTATTATTATTATTATTATTATTATTATTATTATTATTATTATTATTATTATTATTAATTATTAATTATTAATTATTATTAGTATTATTATTGGTATTATTATTGTCTTTTGTTGTTGTCATCGTTGTCATTATTATTTTTAGTGTCCAATGCTTTCTTTTTTTGTTTTTTGTTTTTTTCTTTTTTTTTTTTTTTTTTTTTTTTTGTTACCAAATTTACCTTTTCGAACCTTGCCAGGCTCTGATTCCTTCTTTCAATCTGAAGATCTCTTTTCATTTTTCTTTTTCTTTTTTTTTTTTTTTTTAACTCTTTAATTTTATTTTCGAACGAATTCTAGAACTATTATTGTTATTGTTATTATTATTTTTCTCTTTTTTCATTTATTCTTCGTAGCGCCTATTAATCTATTTTTTTTTTTTTTTTACCGAACTTACCTTTCCACAACTTTGTTGTCAGGTTCTGATTGCTTTTTTTTTATTAAAAGATTTTTTCTCATTTCTTTTTCTTTTTTTTTTTTTCAAATAAATTTCCAAACCATTTTTATTATTATTATTTTTATTAATATTATTATTATTATTTATTTATTTATTTATTTATTTATTTATTTATTTATCTGTCTATCTCTATCTCTTTCTGCTTCGCATGGTTTTAATTGCACTAATTTTTCTTCTTTTTTTTTGTTGTTCTTTTATTTGTTTGTTTGTTTTTTTTTTTTTTATTAATAATACTATCTATCATTTAAAATATCAACGATGATAGATTCAAATAATCACGATGGAACAGATTTTTATTATTATTTTTTTTTAATTTTCTTTTCGACACTTCCGACATTACAGCGACTTATTATTATTTATTTATTTATTTATTTATTTATTTATTTATTTATTTATTTATTTATTTATTTATTATGTTTATTAAATACTAATCGTACTTTTCTTCTTCTACGTACGAAATCAATCGAACTTATATTCCACTTTTCACTTTTTTTATTGCTATTTTTTTTTTTTATTTCCCCATTTGCTTCTTTTTCTTTTTTTTTTACATTTATTCGTTCATACGTACGTACGTTCGCTCGTATATTTATTTACTTATTTATTTATTTGTTAATGAACACGATCTACCGTTTTAAGTTTCTCTCCTACGACGATACATTTAATCCCGATCGAACAGGTTACTTTATTTTTTTTTCTTTTCTCTCTCTCTCTCTTTCTCTCTTTCTTTTTTTTCCTTTTATCCTTATCTATCCATCCATCTATCTTTCTATCTATTTCTCTCTCTCTCTCTTTCCTTTACGAATATGTGATTACCTACTTTGTATGCACTTTTTTTTATCTTTCTTTCTTTCTTCTCCCGATCATGGTGACATTTTATAGTGTGAAGAAAAGTTTTAAGAATTTCTCGTGATAATTAACGATCATAAATTTCTTAAATATGATCGTATGTTATTATCATTTATGTCGTTTCGAATTTATATATATATATATATATATATGTATATATGTATATATATATACGTACATGTAACAGACACACACAGATGCATATTCATATACATGCATCGAAACATCTATTTATCGTAATTAACTGGAACGTTTAGTTAATTTATCGATTGGGTACAAAAGTTAAATTATCGTTTATAGATACGAATGAAAAAATTCTTATCCTATGAAAGGAGCGATGTCGATCAGAAAAATTATAGATACCAAACGACGATGATGATGTAAAGACTTAGTAGACTTGTTGATAGGACTTTTGATATGAATCTGTTGCAGGGAGAAAAAGGGGGAAGTGCAGAGACATCGTTTAATCATTGATTTGCCTTTTGAAATTAATTTCAATGATTTTCTTGTCTTTTTATTTTTTCTTTGTTGTCTTTTTTTCTTCCTTTTTTCTTTTTCATTTTTATTTCCCCCCCAGCCCCCCCTCCTTTTTTCTTTTCATTTTCCTTTTATCCATTTCTCTCTTTTATCGTCTTTTTATTCATTTTTCATTTATTTCATTTCGAAAGTATCCGTGGTCGACGTTAATGGGTTAGAAATGAATTAGATATTAGAAATGATTTGTTTACGATGATTACGCATACCACGAACGTGTTTATAGTTTTCTTTCGTAGATTTACGAAGCCGATCATTCCTTCGAAGAATTTTTATTATTGAAACACGTCGTAATAATAATGACGACACGGTATAAATGTTTTTTTTTTTTTCCTTTTTGTTTCCTTCTTTTTCTTTTTTTTAATTTTCTTTCTTTCTTTTTTTTTTCTCTTTTTTTTTATTTTTTAGAACGTTCGGAATAAATATTTTTCATAAATCAATCGTAGAAAATTAAAATCGGTCATATAATTTTTAATCGTCAGAATGTCCAATTGAATAGCTTTAAACAAGAATCTAGATACTTTATCTTGTATGTGTGTATATGTGTGTGTGTGTGTGTGTATATGTGTTTCTAAGAATACGATCGACCTCCTAAACTAGTCCAAGCTGACCTTTGATACTTTTCATTAGAGTTTCAAATTATCTTGCAGATTTAAATTTACGCTCAGACAATTATTATTTTCTTTATTTAAATCATCCATTTAATTCTATCTTTGTAACTATTTATTTATCTCGTAGGAAAAATCGCTATAGGTCGTCATATTTCTTTCTATTTTTTTCTCCCCTCTCCCCTTTTCATTTTTTTCTTTCGTTGTATGTTTCTTTTTTTTTTTTTTTCTTTTTTATTCGACGAAATCATTCTAATTTTTCTTTCTTTCTCTCTTTCTTCCTCTTCTTTTTTTCTCTTTTTTTTCTTTTTTTTTTCCTTTCCATTCGACGAAATTCACTTTTGTTTCTACTCATTCACGTTTATTTATTTATTTATTTTTTTTTATCATTTCCTTTTCTTTCTCTCTCTCTCTCTCTCTCTCTCTCTCTCTCTCTCTCTATCTATCTATCTATTTTTCTTTTCATTTTTCACATCGACAATCATTTTTCGTTTTCTTTTTTTTCTTTCTTCGTTCTATGGAATCGTTGCTGTTGTTATTGTTTTTTTTCTTTTTTCTATTTTCTTTTTCCCCTTACATTTCTCTTTATCTCTCTTCTTAACAATGTCCTGAATTATATCAGAGTCAAATGTACGCTATGGTGTGGTATAGGTTGAAAGAGAGAAAGACAGAAAGAGAGAGAAAGAGAGAGAGAAAGAGAGAGAGAGAGAGAGAGAGAGAGGGCAATGGTGCGTTCTGGACCCGGTATAGCGTGACTACTTTAATCTCGGGTTTGAATAATTGAAGTTAAACGCTCCGTGCAACCAAGAAGACGACGACGTAGACGAAGAAGTCGACTTCGCGAAGTATAAATCATTGGTGGAATTTTAGTGGAATTTGTTTCCTCGTTTGTTAAATATTCTTTTTCTTTTCTTTACTTTTCTCTCTCTCTTTTTTTTTTTGTTTTTCTTTTCTTTTTTTCTTTTTTAATCTTCTCTCACACCTCCCTCTTTTCTCCTTCGGATCCCATTTTGTCGTCAAAGTGATTGACGACATTGTTTCGTACTTCTTCGTACCTTTTTTTTACTTTGTAATAATAATTATTAATTATTAATTATTAATTATTAATTATTAATTATTATTATAGTAATGAAAAATTATAAAAGAATTTATTTTCTATTCACCGACATTATTGTCCTCCTTCGTTCATATCGATATCATTTATGATTTATTATTTATTTCAATGAAACACAGTCTCTCTCTCTCTCTCTCTCTCTCTCTCTCTCTCTCTTTTATTAATTATTATAAATTTTATTATTGCAATATAATTATTTAATTTAAATCTTCATTAAAAATATAATTTTTTAATTAATCAAACGAATTCTCGATTAATGAATTCTTATTAAAACAAATCCGCCATCTTTTTTATACTTCTCTCTCTCTCTCTGTCTGTCTGTCTCTCAATCTTATTTTTTTTTAAATTAACATTTAATAAGACAAACTTATTTATCAACAGTTAACAGAAGTCATTTCTTTTTTTTTTCATCATCTTCTTCTTCTTCTTCAATTCGTAATAAATTCGCCATAATATTCATTTCCCTCTCCCGCTCGTCTCCCTCACCCTCCCTCTCTCTCTTTAGCTCTAAATTTAATTTCATGGGAAATAACGAGTTCCGAATGTTTATAACCAATCGGAAAAGAATTATAGGGGGTTTAGTTTACGAGAATGTACGAGTAATTAAAGTGAGATCGGTGTTCGAAACCAACCGAGCTAAAGGAATGAAATAATAGTTGATTGAATAGCAGGATAGGAGGAGGTTGTTGAGGTGTTGGGTTTTTGGGTTGTGTTGGGGATGGGGAGGGATATGAAATAAAGTGCGTTTCCACGTGGTCCTCCTTCTACACTAACACCACCATTAACCATTACCATTACCATTACCATCATCTCCATCACCTCCTTCTCTTCGTTGATCTCCTTCTTTCATGGTAACAATCGCGTGAAAAATAGATATGGCTGTCTATTTCATTTTCATCCTCTTCTTTCTTTTTCTTCTCTCTCTCTCTCTCTCTCTCTCTCTCATTCCTTCTCTCTGTCTGTCTGTCTGTTTGTCTCTCTCTTTCTTTGCTTCCTATTACGAGTGCGTATCTATTTATTTGTTCAAGTTCGCCGTCAGGTCTCTCTACCGAACTTCTTATAAAAGAAAAATATTTCTCTAAGAGGGCCATAACGTGGCGCCAACGTGTGTGTCTGTTTTTTTTTCTTTCTTTCTTTCTTTCTTTTTTGTTTTTTTTTTTTTTTTCTTTTTCTTCTCTCTCTCTCTCTCTCTCTCTCTCTCTCTCTCTCTCTCTCTCTCTCTCTGTCTCTGTCTCTGTCTCTCTCTCTCTCTCTGCCTTCTTTGACTCACCCTTTCTCTTTCCATCACCACCACCATCACTACCACTGTATTCCCTTGAACTGAGAAGCTCGTGTTTTCGAAAAAAAAAAAAAAAAAAAAAAAAAAAAAAAGAAAAAAAAAACAA